CACTAAGATGCTCAGACTTTTCTCATTGTGTCTTTGTTTTAACTTCTTCAGTTCCAATTTTATTCATGCTGACATCCTTTACTTTTTTACTGTCTTCCAGTTCTATACTTTTTCTCAGATCCTTAACTTCATTTTTTTGCAACAAGGTCTCCTTGTGTAGGTTGGCTTTGAACTTGAGATCCTCCTTCCTCTGCCTCCCAAGTGTCGGAACTGCAGGCATGCATCATGGTGCCCTGCTAGCTCTTTATTTCTATTTCACTTTGTTTTATACAAAATCTATTTCCCTTCTTGAAACATCTACTTTTATCTCAATTAAATGGGGTTTTTCCTCTTAGAATTTATCAAATTTGTTTCCATCACCTTGAAATTTCCTGGGCTTTCTATAAGAGATTTTAAGGTGTCCATAAGGACTTCTCTAGGAATTGAATTTCACTGGAAGCCCACTCTCCGTGTTCATGCTTTTCACTTCCTCAGCTTCTGCATGATCTCCATTATTCTTGCAAACCTGACAGTTATCTTAGAGAATAGTATCTATTTCTTTCTTTCATATAATTGTAAGGGGATAGAACAGGAGAGATACAATTTCCACACACAGCCATGTCAGCAGTGGAAATCTTTGGTTTACATCTACTTTTCAACTTAGATATTTCATGGGGACTCCAATGACCTTGTAATCTCTCAGTAGAATTTGACAGTGGATAACTGCCTTTTTCTAGAGGTACCTGCTTGCCTTGGTTATTTCTTTAGCCCATTTTCTTGTGCTTCTGGCACTCCATTTTAATGTCTTTGCAAATTACTCTGAAACATATTTCCTAAATACTGATGTTCTTCAGACCTCGGACACAGTTCTGTCTCTCTCCATTTTTGTTTGTTTGTACTCTCAAATCTTCCTATGGTGTTATTCCACATCTCTGTGGTGGGGACTGAAGTGCGTGCCTTTGGCCTCTTCTGAGCCTCAAGCCTATCTAAACTCCCTCTACTGAGCAAGGACTCATGATTATCTTGGGCAACTCAACCTGAACTCTAGAACTTTGCCCCAATTCTCTTTATCCCTTCCATCCTCCTGTCCCCTTTTCCAGGAAGTTCCATGACTGTGCATGCAATTGTTTGTTTCAGGTTGCTGGGTAATATTCTTGACTTCTCACTCTCACTCAGCAAGTGGTCTAAATTGTGTCTATTCCTTCTTCTCAATGCACTTTCAACTAATTCCTCCTCTATTGGTCTCTCCACATCCTGGGGTAAACCACTGTCACCACCTTGATTGGTTTGCTTTCCTCCAGATTTGTCCTCCTTCTTCTTTTAAACCTCATAGTACCAGTCACACTGAAATTTCTAAAACACTGATGTGACCACTTCTCTCCACTGCTCACAGCCCCATGGTGGCCTCCCACTGCTCTGCCTGCAGTTGAGCTTGGATGGCCCCTCATGGCTGGCTTCTGGTTTCTGTTGTGTCTCAGCCACCTGTCATCCTCAGAACCAGATGTGTGATTGCTGGACCACAGTGAACACAATTTACAAAGCCAAACCATGTGTTTAACATAGCAAAACCCACTATTTCTCAAATTTATTTATGTAATCTGCCTTTTAAAATGGTATCAATATTTTCTCTCTGAAATTTTCTCAAGTAGTTTTAAGATAATAAAATAGAAATAAACCAATGTGACAGCTCTGAATAATAATTACTACTTGGTTAATGGGAGAGACAACACTAAAAGCATAAATTTTGGGAGGAAATTATCTATTCAGGAAATATAATATGAAACAAATATTAATGAAATATATCTGATATTTGTAAAACTTTCTATCCTTATATTGACCTACAATTCTTCAGTACATATTTGAAAAGGGAAGATATAATCTTTAGGGCAAATACTTTCACAAATACTTGCAAATTATGTTCACATATAAATAGTGATGTTTTATTGAACTTCACATATTAATGTATTTTTTTAATTTTGCAAATATGTAAATCCATCAAAGTTTTAATGTAGGAAAAACACTCCACAGAGTGGACACTGCAATTAGTTTCATATATATATATATATATATATATATATATATATGTACAGTCTAACTACCACACTAAAACAAAAACATGTTTTAATATTTCTGCTTAAATTTGTAGTTATTGACTTTTATTATATCACTTAACTTTCTTTCTTTCTTTTCCCCTTTTGTTGTACTGGGGTTTGAACTCAGGGTGCCAAGCTTACTAAGTAGGTATTCTACCACTTGAGCCACACTTCCAGATCTTTTTACACTGGTTGTTTTGGAGATAGGCTGTCACTTTTTTGCCCAAGCCAACCTGGACCACGATTCTCCTACTGCAAACTTCCTGCCTTTGTTGAGGGCAGAGGCACACCTCCATGTCCAACTTTTTTTTCTGTTGAGCTGGGGGTCTCACAAACTTCATTGTCTGGCTATACTGGAACCACAATCCTCCTGATCTCAGCCTCCCATGTTGCTAGGATTACAGGTATGAGCCCCGGCTCCTGGCTTTAGCTATTTTCTTAAAGGACTTAGGATTCATTCATCAGCCCATGTTTATTGAGTGCATACTATGTGCTGGGCTCTGTTACTGGCCTTTAGAGCACAGCTGAGTACGTGAACTCTGATCTTATGGGGTATAATCTGCATGTGTGTGTGCAGCTGCGTACACACGTGTGCCTATGTTTTCATGTGTGGATTTGGCTGTGGAGCGGAAGAGAAATAGAGTAAATAAAAACAAGTTAGTATGTGCTCTATCTCTTTCATAAGATATTGCCAGAAAGAGAGGACAAAATGCCAATGGAAAACAGTATGATATAAAGAAATAGGAAATAAATTTAAATTATTGCAGAAACACTTTTGGTAAATAAATACCTCTAGCCAGAATATAAACAGCTACTTTTAGAAATATGTGCTTTAATTCATTCCAAGGGTGTACTCTAGTTCTGTGATGGATGATGTTTGGTTTCCCAGAATTTCAGTAACTAGGTAGCAAAATAATTTAAAAAGCAGTTGAATGCTTGTGACTAGTTGTCACAGTGCACCATCATTTGAATTATTTTATGTTTAAAGTTGAATTCGTTAATTTAATAAATGTTTGCTGCCCTTCCACTGTGGGCTAGTTATCATTTTAAGTTCCAGGGAAACAGTAGGGAGCCAAATATAAACAGTCCTGAAATTGGAGAAGTTAGAATCTGAGGTATGTATTGTTTTGGAGGAAGAAAGCACTCTTTGGCCAGAGCATCAAATCAGTATTATGAAACCACGAAAGTGGTCACCTTCAATGTCATCTGTTTGTAATTTACAATAACAATTGTTATGGTAATTCTTCCTCCTGGCTTTCAGCACTCTATATTAAAAAATTTAAAAATATCAAAGTGCTGTGGGTATACCATCTCGTTTAAGCAGAGTCAAAAACTGCTTTTTACAGTCTTTTCATGGAAGTTGTATTGCATTTGAGTAGGCCAGGACGACTTTGTTTTCGTCATCTGCAAGGTAGTGATCTTTGGCTCACAAACTATCATCATCCACTAGGGCACTGGGAGGTTTTCATTTAAGGAAAAGTTTCCCTACTGCTCTTCTTTGAGAAAAGCAAATGCAAGTACCCAGACCTGGCCCACCTTGGGGTGCATCTCTGTTGGGGAAGGACAGCAATGGCAGAGTGGTTCTCAGTGAGCACCCACAGACACATGTGAGGAAGAAGACTGGTGCTGCTCCTCCCTGTCCGTCACCCCCTTATATCCCTGTCTCCCCAGGGGAGATTCTCTCTCTCGCGTCTCTCCTCCCTCTCTGTGGGATGGGCCTTGACAGACTGCCTTCATAACTTTTCTCGTTATAGCTGAACTCAGAGGGCAGTTTGCTTTGTTTTACTACCATGATTGCTTAACTCCTTAGGAACAGTCAGAAAAGTGTGGTTCTCAGTTTGTGTTCTTCCCTAAAGAATCTTATTTAGAATTGGAATATAAATTAGTGCAGTTATTATGGGAAATAGTATGAAGACCCCTAGAAAATTAAAGATGCACTATGTATAATGAAAACCCAGCAATCCCACTTCTGGGTGTATATCCAAAGGAAATGGAATCAGTGTGTCTTGTCAAAGAGGCACCTGCACTCCATGTTCATTCACGCACTATTGCTTGTATTTGTATTCTTAGAACATTTTGAGTAGGATCACTTGGATGGCTACAGCTTTGTTGTTTGATTCTGTCCTTACATTATCATTTCTCTAATCTGCTCAGTTATTTATACCATTTTGTTTATAACTCCCCCAATTTCCTAATCTCTGGCCTGGAGTTTCATCCTAATGCCATTATTTACATAACTGTGAAATAGTCAGTGAACTCAAACTGAATTCGCAGGAAAGGAGTGGTTGTACTCTCTTAATGGGTACTGATAGCCAAGAAATTTGATCCGGACCAGTGTCTTGGCAGGTACCCCTTGCCTCCTCACTCTGTGGCTGCTGTTTGCTGACTGCCCCTTTATCCATCAGGGAGCACAGTGTCCTCCTGTCACTCTCCACATGACTGCCAGGGGACAATGGAGGAGAATTAATGAACTGAACAGAAGCCACTTGAACTTAAGTATGATAGAGCACCATTGCAAAGTTCCTGAGCACTTCCCAGCAAAGGTTATGTCCTGGTGACTTCCCTCCTTCTCCTGCCAGGTTGTAGGGAGCTCACTTCCTCCTGATACCTTTGGCTGCATGCCATATAATTAATTACCCCTCCCCCAGGAACTCAACTAGTTCCATCTTACCCATTCTTCAAGCTCTCCCATACAAACCAGTCTTCCTACGAAACAGCTGACATACAGAGCTGTAAACACAGACACATGGAGTATTGGCTCCGATTCCTGTACCTGACAGCTGCCCAGGTGAATAAGATGCATATATATATATATATATATATATATATATGCCATTCTCTCCTAAGTTCCTCATCAGATTCTGCAACTAAGTGGAGGGGAAAACGAGTTTGCTCCATTTGTTTTATGAATAACTCTCTTCATTGTAGGATCTTATACATTTGTTCCATGGCTACTCAGCTTTAAAAGAGGTAGAGCATTGGAAGAAAAAGGGAATAAAATAGTGGTGAAAGAAACCGGTTACTTCTTCATCTATGGTCAGGTAGGTTCAAAGTCTAATTGTGTCCTCACAGTCCATTGTGCCCCATTGCACACACACTTTTGACAACATGCTTTGGTTTCTTTCTCAGGTTTTGTACACCGATAACACCTTTGCCATGGGGCACCTAATTCAGAGGAAAAAAGTCCACGTCTTTGGCGATGAGTTGAGTCTGGTGACATTGTTCCGATGTATTCAGAATATGCCGGAAACACTACCCAATAACTCCTGCTATTCAGCTGGTAAATAACCAATCTCAGAGCTGCATTTTGTGGGACGAAAATAGACTGTGCTGGAAACTCTGAACTGCACAGTGCAGCAGAAAGAAAAGATGAGGTCTTATACTACAGACGGACAGGAAGGCATTCCCAAGGATACTGGTTTTATTTTTATCTTATATCATGAGCTAATGTGTTTTAATGGAGAAAATTTGACTCATTACTAATAGTCATACCATTTTTATATGAATTAAGAAAGAGGAATAACTTCACACAATTCTACATTGGCACCAACTCTAAATGAATTTTCTCCCAACATTTAAAACAACAGCAGGAATGATAACATCTAACAACCATAGCTGATCACCATCTGCAGGGCACCTCTCCTGCTCACCCACTTAACCTTCTCATTTTAGGGAGAATCTGAGACACAGAGAGGTTATGTAACTTTTCCCAGGTAGCACAGCTATTAAGTTCCAAATCTTGCTGTCAATCGTTTTGTCTCCACAGTAAGCTACCAAAACTCTACATGTTAGGAAAGAACTGACCTCTTTCAGGTCTGAGTGCAAGGAAGGAAAGGTGCACATGGCTTGTCTCACTTCAGACCATTGCTGTCTAGTGGAAACAGACACCCGGCAGATGACTTTGGGGTCCGAAGGTGGAGGAGCAGCCCTGTCTTTGAGCTGAGGGGCAGAGAGGGTGCACAGGGAGGGGCAGGCTATGTGAAGTCCTGACCAGTTTAGGTAACAGTTGCTAACATTTCATGAGTTTTATTCAGGGAGATAAGTTCCAATTGATCAAGGCTGATTTTACAAAATAATATTTGCCTTACACCTGTTTATTTCTCCCTGGTGATCTTGATAAATCTATTAAAAGCCCGAGGAATGTCTTCAGTCTCAGACAATTATGACAAATGGCAGTGTGTAACCAAGGATTTGGGAAATACAAACACCCAATAAATCAGTTAGACGCTAAGGAAAGTGCCCACAACAGCAGAGGTGATGTCATTGTGGGTCTGCAGCCCTAAATAGTTCAGACGGGGGTGAGGAAGTCTGCTAAATTGGAAGTCCCTAATTTTCATAGAGAATTCTCACTCTGTGCCAGCGCTGACCAGCATTTTGACATTGAAAAGTACTTCTAAACTGTGAGGCCACTCCAGTCTATCGTTCATTTATATTCACTAGTACTTACAGTTTTACAAATAACTCTAAAAATTTTGTGATCATCTGATCCTCTAAGTTACTTCCTAAGGAGCACTCCGTCAGCTTTCCTACGTGCCTTACATTTTAGGAATAATTACCCCGATTTTGAAGATAGTTCTCAATATGAATAATTCAGTGTTGTTTATATGAACCATTCTCTAAGAAGTTTCAGGCTTGTGATGGTCATCTGTTATAGGATGAACTTTCTAAAGTCACCCAAAAGTACATAAAATGCTTCTATAATAACCTGGGAAGTTTTACATGGTCAGTTTAGGAAACCCAACATGATAGTAATGAAGCACTTCAGCCCAAAAGCCGAATCCTATTTACCATTTCATTAATAAAATAAATAGGAATGTGAAAAGTGACAGCTACAGCTGGTCACTGAACTGAAACACCCAGTAATTCTGTCAGAATTTAGAGTAGAATCTGCAGGTATTCGTACCCATTTACTCTTTAGAGTTAAGATTTAACACTCTGTGATCTGTAGCCTTTATCAAAGTACTAGATCACCTTCAATCCCTATAAATAATAACAAATCTACTCAATAAATAAATCCTGATCCCTTTTCTAAAATCAGTCCATTTTAAGGTGATTGTTATTTTGTTGCATTGCAGTATATCAACAAACACTGTATATAAAGACTTAAAATCCAGAAAGCTGTAAAAGGTGACACAAAGGACAGCTAAACCTGTGGTCTGGCTTCTGGAGAAAAACTATTGTGACCAATGTGCTTTGTCATTAAATAGTTTGGTTTTTCTTTTTAAACTTTTTAGTGTTTATACTTTAAGTGCACATTTAAAAGTGAAATTAGGACCATCCTGTAATATGCTGTGATTGTGTACATTTGCATTTTATTCAACATTTCTATGAAATGTCTCCTTACTTGATAAAATTAAGCAATGATGTAATTAAGTAATGATATAATATTCTATCAGGAGGCACTGTATGATTCACTTGTTTTTAAGCTTGCAGTTTGGGTCGCTGTTCAGAGTTTCCATCTTATAAATAGAGGAGCATAAGCCCACTTGTATCTGTTTGATTTCCTCCTGCTCATTGCTTGATCTTGCTTTTAAGGCCAATAGAATTGTAGCTAGTGCAGAAGCCCATTAGTGTGCCTTACAACGTGGATGCCTGTGTTAGGATTTCTTCCTAAACAAAATAATGTGATCTGAGCAAAGAATGTTCAAGCTCTTTTCCTTCCTTTTCATTTGCACGAACACTCAACGCTTGTGCATGGCTCTTCCCAGGCATTGCGAAGCTGGAAGAAGGAGACGAGCTGCAGCTTGCCATTCCCCGGGAGAACGCTCAGGTCTCCCTGGATGGGGATGGCACCTTCTTCGGGGCGCTGAAGCTGCTGTGACCCAAGTCTGGGTGTCATGCTTCCTTCCCTCCCTGGCCCTGCACCTCTGCGGGGAGACACTGAACTGGAAATACCAAAAGAGGAAAAAACCATGCAGTTACCATAGACCTTGCTGTGCACTGTTTGTTTTGGTTTGCTGAAACTGGTCCAAAACAGGAAATTTTAACAGCCAGCTGCAGCCAGAGTGCCATGTGATTTTCAAGAACCAGGGCCCATATTCGGAAAGATAGAATTAGGAAGACTTTTCACTGCAAGTCTGTGTAGTCCTAGCTTCTTGTGTTGAAGCAGAAAGGAATGCAAAGAGCAATCCTAATTTCCTCAAGAGCAGAAGTGGACATTTGTAAGTACTTGTGTAGTTGCAGTTGCAGCTACATTTCAGCAAGTCCTTAAATGTGTACATTGCAGTTATCCTACATGAAAAGTTTCTGAGTACGTGCCACAAACACACGGTACTGAAACATCGATGGGAAGTCTCAGGACTGATCAGTTTTCAGGTTACATATTCTGGTCAAGTCTCTTTTTCAGTTAATTAAGCAATTTCTAGATATCTTGCACTAAATACATGAAAAACTAAAAGTTTAGTTTTATGTTTTTGTACCAATTAAAATAATCTAAATTTAAATATTAAATAAGTGTACTGAAAATAGGGTACACATATTTCACAGTTTTCATGTTTAACGTTATCTGTTACCTAGGCATTTTTTCACAGGAGGAAATTTCCTTCTTTGTGTATGCACACATGCATTTTTTTAGAGTTAATTCCAGTTACTTCAGAAGCTTTTAATATGGGCTATTTCTAATTTATTCATATGAAGAACTAATAGAATAGAAACTAAAGTTGCACTTATGTAAATTAAAGTCGCTAGAAGTTAAGTGAGTCCATGTAGAATAAAGTAATATAATTTTCTTCATTTCCAGTTCTTCTCTTTCAAGGTACTGCTATTGTAGAACAGGTATTTCATAAAGGATTGTACGGGAGAATGATGCAATATTTACTGTTTATGACATCTGTTCACTTTGGTTTTTGTCTTCTGTTCTTATGTTACTAATTAATAGTGAATTTTATTAGGCAGTTTACTTCTTCAGTTTAAATAGTAGATGGAAGAATAGACTGTAGTCTACACTTATTTCCCATCTATGTTAAAATATTTTAAGATGTACTCACAAAATAAATAATTTAAATTTTGTGTCTAAAAGAAAATTTTTATTAAATATCTGGTTCATGCAGTTTTTGGCTTTTTGGCTCAAGTAAAATATACTTAGCAATTTCTTTTGTTTTATAACATTACAAATAAAAAAAAGAAGCAATAGGTGGGAGGGGTTGTGACATGGGAAGAGTGGCTGGTAATTTTCCTAAAGTTGCTGCTAATTTAGATTGCAAATAAATACCCAGTGCCTTCTGCCTCACTGTCTGAGCTTGTCTGGCAACACCCACCCATCTTTTAGTTTGTCCATATGTTTGTGATGTTAAAATCAGGTGAGAAACATCACAAGATCACATAAAGTAGTATGTGTTAGTGTATGACAGAAAAGTATTTGGAGACATGACTTTTTTCTTATCTACAAAAAATCTGTTCATATCTTATTAATATTTCCTAGAGCACATGGTTAGCAAAAAGTAATACTGAATAATAACAGGCTCACACATATTATACCCTACAACTTACACCAACATTCTTTTTTTAAAAAAAAATACTTAATACTTTTTGTCAGCAGCTCTAGAATTCAGCCATGGAAAATATTGTTTGCTCCTGTTTTGGCTTAATCCAGAGTTAAAATGGGAATCCTATTTTCCTATATGTGAAATTGTGAGGACCATTAGACTGTAGTTAAGTCAAAGTTTATTTATATATCAGAAAATAGAAATGAAATCACATCACACAGTGATTATGTGGGGAACCTCTTTTCAGACAGTAGTTGTCTCAGTTCCTTCCTTTCTACCTTTCCCCAATTTATTTAAGGGAAAAGAAAGAGAAAGATGTTATGTTGTGTTTTCTATAACAAACCATTGCTAAGGTTTAAGTGGATGGGACCAACGCAGACAATCTTTGCCTTAGATCTCAAATCACTAGTTGTGATTTTAGTCATTATTGAAGTTCTCCCACGTGTGGAACTAATTGAGCATTCAGTTTCCAAAGTAAAATTATTTGCAGCTCTCTATCGTATGTGAAGAAATACTCCTGGAATCATTGTGCAGAGAGGAGGTCTTTCGTGCAATATGTTGTGATTTCACAATTGTGGACAGAAGCACACATACATCTTTTGTAATCTCAATCAAATGAAGCATGTGAGGACGCATTCTTACAATGTGACAGACTCCTGTAGCCACTGTGAAGAGCTACACTGGACCCCTGCCAGCTTCCTGCATCTGCCACACTCCACTGTCTTCCAAGGCAGTGGCCATTCTGATGTCTATCAGCAAAGAGTGATTTCACCTCTTTCCAAATTTGCAGAAACGCATGGGTGTTAGTCAGTTTTCTGTTGCTATAACAAAATACCTGAGATAAGCAACTTCATCAGGAGGAAAGACATCTTTTGACTCATGGTTGCAGAGGGTTTAGTTCATGGTTGGTTGACTTTGTTGCGTTTAGACCTGTGATGAGCAGAGCATCATAGTGGTAGCACATGGTTGAACAAACTGGTGTCTGAGAAGGAGAAAGACTAAGAGAGAGAAAGAGAAGAGGAGGAGAAGAAGGAGGAGGGGAGGGGAGAAAAAATTGAGGAGAGGAGAAGGGAGGAGAGATGAGAAAAGAGAGAGGAGGAAGGGAGGGGAGAGGAGGAGAGGGGAGAGGAGGAGAAGGTAGAGTCTCAGAATCCCCTGCAAGGACACACCTCTCATGACCTAACTTCATACCACTAGGCCCCCCACATCCTAAGGCTTCAGCTGTTTCCCAGTAGCACCATGTGCCATTTATCCAAAACCTCACAGTATGGGACAGTGCATTCCTTCTCTCCATACTGTTCGCCATTGTTTGCTCACCATTTTGTCTGGGAGACTGGTCCAGGCGGTCGCATGCAGCCTAGTTCATTCCTGCTCACAGCACAACAGACTTTCACTCTGGGATATGTCAAAATGCATCCACTTTACTAAGGAAGGGCCTTTGGAGTGTTTCAGTTTGGGACTGTTATGAGTGATATTTCTGTGAACATTTTCTTAATCCATTGTGGGGAACCCATGTATATGCTTCTGTTGGATGTACATCTGCAAATGGAATTGTTGCCACATAGAATATGTATCTGTTCAGCTTGAGGAGATTCTTCCAAAATTGATAAACAACTTCCAGAACATCTAACAGAACCAGTGCTCATTATCGCTCACCTGTTCCAGCCAGGCGGACTCCCCTCCCTGTGGTGGCTTCCACTCAACACTCCTTGTTTATCAGTGCTGACACCAGGCCTGTGCTAATGACCCCGGGGACTATAAAACAGAATTTTCACCTAATTCACTTTTAGAAAATAATCTTATGACCTTTCACGAATTTGATTAGCTTTACAGATGACTCATGGTTAAAAGGAGGGCCAGCCCTTCAAGACACTTTCCTCTTTTGGATTCCTCTTCTATGATCAAGGAACTAGAGAGAGGACTGGTATGTGGCAATCAGCAAGTCTAGTCACTGAAGAGGCCTCTGTTCACCATTTTTCAGATGACTATGAGTGGATGTGCTGCTCTGTTGGTTTTTTTATTTGGTGGGACTGGGGTTTAAACTCAGGGCTCCACACTTGCAAAGCAAATACTCTATCACTTGATCTACACCTCCAGTCCAATTTGTTCTGGTTATTTTGGACATGGTGGGGGGGTTCTCAAGAACTATTTGTCTGGGCTAGCCTTGGTCTTTGATCCTCATGATCTCAGCCTCCCAAGTAGCTAGGATGACAGGCATGAGCTACCAGCACTCAGGTGATGCACTGTTCTTTTAAGCTCTGTTTGAAGTTGTCTTGCACCATTGTCATTACCCAAGATGACTGAGCCTTTCCTTATTTGTAAAACAATGAAGTGGAATTAAATTTAAGATTGCTTTTAAAATAAAGTGCTAGACTGCAAATATAAAAGAACATAACAGAGTAGTAGCATAGATTTGCTACTTATTCAGATCTGTTCTATAATTTTTTGAAGTATAATCCTTACAAATGTTATGAATATATCTAGAATCCACAGTATTTTTCCTGTACACTTGATGTTGTGTATGTGAAAGATTTTAGGAATTTGATTTACTTATTTGATCTTAAGTTTTATATTATTATTGTTTTAGGTCGTGGCTCAATCACTCATTGCATTTGAAAGTAACCACAAAGATTGGATCCAGTGGAGTGACAGGGTAGACAGCTCTATGATAGAAACATGTTGCCATGGTTTTATGACACTGAGTTGTCAACTTGGATCTCTCATGGTCAATTGCTGCCATTTCAAAGGACTTAACAAACAAGATCCACCACAGGAAGACAATGGCATACCTGGCACATGGCAGTACAGATGGGTGAATTTCAGTGTCTCACTTTTTCCAGCTATAATATAAACATAGCCATATGTTTCACAAATGAATGATAAACTCAAATTCTATTTTACATTCTTCAGGAGACAGTGGTCATATCATTGTTTTCAGGGCTGTGTTTAGAGTAGCAGAATATGTTTTGTGAGTTTTCTGTGTGGATGTATACTTACATGTTTTTCTTCTTGGGAAGCAATCGTGACATGCAAACTTTCTCAGGACAGGCAGGTGGCAATTTGAGGTCCTGGATGGACCCTGAGCATGGGCTTGTCAACATCTTCCTGCCACATCCAGGTCCTAACCCCACTCTCTGGTCATAGCACGTGCAAAGGACAATTTGGCATTGTGAATCCTCATCCTTTGAGATTAGCTGATGGCCAAGAAAGGGGAAAGGAGAGAGATTCTTGGTATGGGAGAAGGAAAGCATGGTTCTCCCTTGAGCTAATAGGTTTACATGTTTTTAACTGTTTGACTGGTTGCTCAGAAATAATTTTAGTCTTTTAAAAATACAGAAAAATGAGATGAGAACAAAGAAACCTATTCAGTTCTTCACTATTCCCCCAGAACTCGTGTTGTACAATATAGGGTCAGACCTCCTGGAAACTGATATCATACTGAGTCATGAAGTGCATTTAGCAAACATTAAATAGGTATTTTATACCAATCACAGTTTTCTCACTCCATTCTTTGATAGTAGAAACCAGCAATTAAAAAGTTGAAAAAAACATGCATTTAGAAAATGAGGTAGATAAAAATCAGTTCTGAATAATTTAAAAGTTAAAGAAAAAACATAGAAATCAGAAAAATCCTTACAATTAGATGATAATAAAACACCAAAATATCTAGGGTGCTGTAAGATTAGTCACATGGAATTTTATGAACTTATAAATGCTTACATAAGAATTTAAGTGGCTGAAAATTAAGGGTGAAGCATCAACAGCAAGAAACGCAAAAACAAAAGCAATTTATAAAGAAAGGAAACAAACTAGAAAAGCTAAGCCAAAGAAAGCAAATGGAAATCAGAACAGAAATAAAGAAAATATAGAATACAGGCATAAGATGAAAGATCAACAAGACCGAGAGTCATTTCTCTATAGACAAATAATACAACAAATGCTGGCAAGATTTTCAAACAGAAATTCAGAAGGTGAACTTTAACAATATTAGAATTTAAAACGGAGACAACGCTGTCAATGCAGCAGAGATAAAATGACCTAAGGAAGTAATATGAACAATGTTTTGGCTAATGAGCTTTAAAATAGTGAATAAAATAGAAATTCCTAGACAAATAAAAATTACTAAAACTGGCCAGCAAGAAACAGGCAAGAATGAATGTTTTAGATACAGGCACCGAGCCGTTAGCATAGCCTGAACATTCCTAATCCAGAAATTCAAAATCCAAAATTTTCCAAAAATCTAAAACTTTCTGAGCACAGATACAGTGTCAAAGGTGGAAAATTCCACAAGTGACCACGTGTTCTGAACTATAGTCAAACACTGACATGCTGACTACACTGCATTACTTTACCTTCAGGTTGTGTTATAAGGTGTGTGAAACATAAGTGAATTTGTGTGTAGGCTTGGTTCCCATCCTCAAGCTCATTCCAAAATACAAAAAATATGAATTCTGAAACACTTTTGGTGCCAAGCATGTGGAATGAGGACATTCAAG